GCAGTGAACTTATTACAGAAATTTTCACTGATGATAAAGTGATTAGCTGTTACTAGCTGGATAACATGTATATTGTGGCACAAAATGAGAAAACAGAACCACATACTTTGCTTTTTTTATGTCCACAATCTTTTTTTAAGTCAGCCTTTTGTTTCTTTATTAGTTTTCAAAATGGCTTAAATGGGATGGGGACACAATTCCCTAGGCAACAACATCTCCTTATAAAGTTCATATTGCAAACATGTTAGCAATGGTTTTTTTTACACATCCAGCAGACATAGAGCAACACTAGCATTTATTTGTGAATTAAATCCATGTTAGTCCAAGAGTCACATTATTTGTTTTCTTTTCATTTTCTTTGTTTTTGTGTCCATCAGCTCCAGAAGGAAATATCTGATCCTTTCATTGCCAAATGCTCCACTATGTTAACCAGCTATTGGGTAACTTTGTGTATTTACTAAAATAAAATGTTCTGTTTCATTTTCTGTTCTTAATGGATGAATGAATGACTCATCAGCCATCTTGCAAACACGGTCGACGTTAGTTGTTTTTAACTTCAAGCAAAGGACATAAGGTACCATATTTTCCAGGTTGAAAAATATTTCTAAATCAAGCCCTTCAGCTCTTCTAGTACCGTTCATAACCTGCTCCATACATGTTATTGATGTGCAATTGTAAAAGTCTTGGCTCAAATGAAAATACCCTGGTTACGTCAGATGGAAATTCAAGCATGCTTAATGTAAACCAGCCCATTGTGCACCATAGTGAGTACACTGTTAAACCATATGGATAGATAAAGCAAACACGTCATGATGTGTTGTCCAAATAGACTTTTCTTACAATAATTTCATGCCATCTCACCCACATTCACTCTCCAGCTCATAGTTACTCATTTATAAATAATACTCACACATACATTTCATATGTGTATGTCCACAAACACACACAATCAACTTCTTGTCTGTGCACTTTGTGAGTAAATCCAACCCTATAGAGGCGACCCCAGTGTGCCTGAGATGGGTCACGTACCTCTACACAGTGCTGGGGCAATCTGCAATGAAAGCTTTCCCATTTGTAATAAACTGCAGCCTCTCAGAAGAGCAATCCTAGGGAGAATCCACCATACTCACTCCTCGCTATAACAACAGCGTCTGTAAAACAAATGAGCGGGGAGGTAATTGCAGACAAACAAAAATTACATTTCCAATAAAGGTTCTTGTCTCTTTGGGCTCCCAGAAGCCCCCAGCTCTCCTCAACTGTTTAACAGCCTTAATATACCCTCTCATCAGCCTTCCTGTTGAGAAGTCGCCTGAGAGAGGTTATCAGAGCACAAACAGAGCTCATCTAATGTGAACAGGTTGAGGGTTTAGTGGTTGAAGTGTTTTAGGCAATTAAAAGGTGAAAGTAATGGTGGGATAGATGGATGAGAGCATTAGACAAAACACTAAAAGTTTACATGACCCGTACTTTACACTCGAAGACATTCATGGCACTGTGGTAAAAGTCTCATAATCAGGAGCGCTTATGAGAAGATGAGTAATGCAAAATACTTTTGTAAACAGCATGAAAAGATGCAAATTTCCTTTATGGAACCTGAGAAATGGTTTTCAGATTATAAAGAAAGACACGTGCTAAAAAAAAGGATAATTATTTGTAACCAAGAGCTAAAATAATCAATCTCTCAACAATGCGTTAATATCAATGTCAGGGACCAAACAGTCAAG